TAAATTTTCTCTTTTAAAAAAAATATTTGCTTTTGTGCACCAAGGTGTTTATTTTACATAATTGTTATATTCTATAATAATTTAATCCTTTTCTGATAAAATAGGTACATTTCTCATATATTCATTCATCTTATCAATCTTTGTATATTAAGTTGTTTTTTTCGATAGTTGGATATTTGATTTATAATTGTCAGTTGGTCATTAGCTACAAGGTTAGTTTTGGTAGTAATAGCTTTTAATTTATCAACTACTTCAACTACTTTGCTCAGATCTGGACGATTATTTGGCTCATTGTCCCAACACTCTTAATTTTAATGATTAGAATATATTGTTTAATTATAACTGAATTTTAATAAATGTATTTACCAGTATAAAGTTTTACATAATCTTCGGGTGTACCATGAATAATTTCTTCTCTGAGACCTTCCGAAATACTATTAATTGGTCAAAATCATATCCTTCACAAAAAGGGACACGAACACTTGATATCTCCCATAATAGCATACTAACGCTATAGACATCACTCTTTTCGTTTAGCTTATATTGTGATGATTTGGAATTATACCAAAATTATTTGAGGATTTGGTTGCTTCTTCAATTCTTTTTGATAACCCAAAATCCGTCAGTTTTATACTATTCCGGTAAACTAATATAGGGGATAGGTTTTCCTAACACTTAACATAAATTTATTGTTAAATTTAAAGTCTAAATCAAACTATTTACTTACAGACGAAAATTTTAAATTAAAAATAAAAATGTCAATTTTAAATTATTAAATGTAGAAGTCATTAATAGAAATATAATTATAATTAATTATAAAAAAAATTATTAGATTCATCTTTATAAAATAAAATGTGAAGATTAAAACGTTTGTTTAAATAATTTTTTTATATAAAAAGCTTATATCGATCGAATTATTATATTGGCAATTATTAATTTTATTATGATTTGTTGTTACACCCAACCACGTCACTTATAGCATAAACATTAAAAAATACAAGTCTATGTAGGTGAAACTTTATACAACAACAATGATAAAATAACAATATGATTGAATTTTTACATGATTTTAAAAGCCTATCACGATATAGAGCTAAAAAAAAATATACGATCAAAAACATGCATTAATCTAACAAATCTCTCGGTTGCCTGAATCATGAAAGAAGTAAAGTGAGTCTTATGCACATAAAAATGAGGGAGAGTATACTGTACGGTACTTCAAATACTCTTGCAACTTTCTAAGCCAATAAAGATCATTGGCTTTGTTAAGGAAGGCATTAGGTTTCACATTTGTGGGCCACTGTATCGACATATTCAATGATGGTGGGTATTTGTCTGTTTCATGCCGTCCACACCAATCAAAGTCTATTAACATTGCTCATTGCGTTCCATGCTGATTATACACCAGAATGTTTGGAGGACGAAGATCTGCAAACACATAGTTATTTTCATGTAGCAAATTAATAGCAAATTTTATATCGTCATAAATAGAATTTTGACGCATAATCTCGATTTTATCAAATTTCTTATCCAGCGAGGTGCCGACATGTTCCATAATAATCATCTTATATCCGCCAAGAGCTCGGATTTCATTATTGGCACTACAATATAACAATTTCGGAGCATAACCTTTACTATGGCAGATATCATGTGCATTTCTATTGTATTCGGTCACAAATTTCACGACAATCATTTTATTATTATCTGTACTGGCTTTCCAGATAGTTCTTGTGTGATCAACTGCAAGCTTCTCGGTGTAGGTGAAATTGACTGTTTTTCCGTTGATTGGAAAACTTCGAAGATAAGGAAAATACTGCTGTCCTGTTTGATTTAATTCCAACCTCTAGTAAAAAATGCTAAGCCGTTCAAAGGCAAGTCGTAACGCCTGAAAAAGTTGAGCAATCCGATTTACTTGGTCTTTATTTCGAAGGTCAATTGTAAGAGAAATGGAATCTGTTAGCGGCTTGACTACTACCCTGTTAAGGAAAACACCTCCGAAAACACAAAACTATAGTCCGGCAATGGTGATAATAAAGGATGGTGCGCAACAGCAGTCTCGAATCTGGTTAGCCTAAATAGAAGGTATCGCATGAGCACATGAATTTGCATAGACCTAGTTATGGATAAAATTAAACATACTGATGACTGAGACCAATAATCTCGGTAATATATTGCTCCTTAAACACTGGGATCAGTTCCACCAGATCCAACTTCATTCTTTCCTTCGAATATCCCCATAATAGCGTTGTGAATGCCTACTTTAGTCGTAAGTATTCCATCGCTCTTACAACCTTTTCTTCCGTAACTAATCACTGAAATGGTGCCAAATTTTTTTGAAAGTATTTCTCTCATTGTATCCATACGTTCGTCTTCAATGGTGTATCTATCTGTTGCTGCGGAAATAATATCTACGACCCACTCCATAATATCAGAAGGCACTACCAAATTCGTATTCCTAAAGTCTTCAAGGAATTGACCAAAGGTTCTATTGTGAATAGTAATAGGAGGACCAGTAAGTTCAAGTGGTCGACCATTAAGGATTGGATTCTTTTGTTGATTTGAGAAGAAGTTAGAAGGCTTGGTACTAGTCGAAGGAGAGTTTGCTTTAAGACCAAGATTAACAGTTTCCTTGTATTCTATAATGAAGAAAAAAATAAGCCATTGATTTCAACTTTGATACCTTGAAAATAAAAAGGTAACCTTTTTCGTGCTTTAGCTGTTTAAATTTCGTCTCCGAGAGTGGAACCAAAAGATCAAGTTCTTCGACTGGAGGTGCTGGAAGTAAATGAGATGTCAATTGATGAGTGATCGCTTACAGATAAGATAATACACTTACTATAACCAAGCTCATAACCAAGTTTTACACGAAGCGCCGTCAGCTTTGCTCTCAATTCTTTTATTTCTTGATTCCGTGACGCAAAGCACAAGTTAGAAACTGAAATGATAGTGAAAAAATGATACAGCGCAGATAACACTAATTCACTTACTGGTTGCATCTACGATAACGTGAATGGATTTTTTTTTTGGTCGGCGTTTGATGATAAACAGGAAAAGAAGCACAAGATTAAGTTAGTACTCGGTATTTCTGACAAATATGACAGAGAAAACAAAATATTATGCTATATCACGTTGTCTAAAATTTTTACCTACCAGTATCGGGAGTTCTAACTACAACTCAAATGTTACCTCCTTGGACAACATCAAAAGTTTCTTTAATTGTTTTCGCTGAATCCTCTAATTCGTCGTTTAGTATTTCTTCGGAAATAGTTTGATCCGTGTTAACTCTCCACAGTTTAAACTCGTAAGATGCAGAAGCATCATAGCGTGGTTGTCTCTTCTCCTTAATAGCTTCCTTGAGGTCGTCAATGTCATTACCATCTCCGATAGGTACTTTAAATTTACAATTATATCGTGCATCAAAACACCAAAGTGTAATTTGTGTACCAAGAATTGCAACAGGCATCGCTGTATTACAAATAAACAAGATAGGGAAAGATTAAGGGCGATACAACAGTAGCCATGAGCATAACAGAAATTTGATTTCATTGGTTGATTGACAAGGATTCTGATTGGCTCAATCAAATTTCATAAAAAATGAACTTCGCGACGCTAACCTAAAAGCTCCAATAGAAATGATCATCTTTTCATATTTAATCTTGCTCACGTGAATATAAAAGGTTTTTTTGTAAGAAAAAGACCCAAGTTTTATTAATATTTTGGTCTTTAAAGGCTATAAAACCAATATATTGACTTTGTGTAACATATTAATAGTCCTAAAGGTCTTCCTAGTAAAACTTGGTGGAATAAAGAGATCATAGAGATCATAACGCATATAATGGTAGAATAACAACAGAATGTCAAACGGATGTGTCTTTAATGTGGCTTAATATGACATACGTGATTTATATACAGTGGTGATCATAAATAATGCAACAAAAAAATAAAATCCTTTAAATTTAATACTTCTGGTTATAAAATAATATGCAATTTGTATAAATCATGTGTTGCATTACTTTTGATTGTTTTTAACATAAATCAGATGATCCTTATTGTGCTACATAAAAATTTGTATAAAAGGTATTTTTATTTATTTATTATTTGATCCCATAATATATCACAACTACTTAATAAACAAGTGGCAGCAAAAAAGCATCACACAACTCCTAATGAAAGGGCACAAATTCTCCTTTCATTACAAAATGGATACACAACAAGAGAAGTAGCAAAGGCTTAAAAAATTGCACCTTCTACAGTTTCTCGTATTAGAAAAAGATGGCTTGATATCCACTCTTTTGAAGACTTAGCAAGAACAAGTCATCCACCTACTGTAAATGAACCAACACAAAGAAGGATTGTTAACCTTATTATTTCTCAAAGGTGTTCATCAGCTGGTGAAGTACGAAACCAACTACAAGAAAAAGAAAATTTGATTTTTTAACACCTACTATTCGTCGTGTACTTCAAAATAATGGGTTAGTAGCAAGGATTAAAAGAAAAATGCTATACCTTAGTAAAAGACATAAAAAATCTCAATATAATTTTGCAAAAAAGTATGAAAATTGGACTGTTGAAGGTAATATGGTCTGATGAATCAAAATTCAAAATTTTTAGTTCTGATAAAAAGCAGTATTACTGAAAACGTCTTAGAGAACTAATAAAAAACCACCATATTCAACCTACAGTAAAATTTGGAGGCAGGTCAGTTATGATATGGAGATGTTTTACATTTCGTGGTGTTGGTGGTTATTGTAAGATTGATGGCATCATGAATGCTAACTTATATCAACAAATTCTTCATGAAGATTTAATGTGCACTATCAGGATACATGCTTTTACTTTTAAAGACATTATTTTTCAACATGATGGAGATCTAAAGCACATAGCAAATTCAACAAAACAGTGGCTTAAAAGAAACAAGGTGACGGTCCTAGATTGACTACCTAATCCCCAAATCTGAACCCATTGAACATTTATAGAACGAGGTTGACCATCGGCTTAGACATCTCCCTGAACAAATTTCAAGTAAAGATGACTTATAGAATAAAATACAGCAAGTTTGAAAAGAATTCGATGTTGAAATTTGTACTAACCTAATTCAGTCTATGTCAGAAAGGATTTATAATGTTATTAAGGCTTGGGGAGGATATACAAGATGGTAATTATATCAAATTTAAAATATATTTTAAAAAAGAATAATGTTCTGATATATTAATTTCAGATGTTTTAATTGTTATTTGAGTTGTATTAAAAACGAAATAAATAATGCAACAGCATTATCTAAATAATTATATACTTTATAAAATAATTTATTTATTAATTAAATTCTAAATTTTAGTATTAGGAAATTATAATATTAATAATAAAATAACAAAAAAAAATTTATTTATTTCCGTAATTACAAGAAATATTTTGTTTTAATGAAAATTATTTTTTTGTTGTATAATTTATAATCACTACTGTTTATTATTTAGCTATGCAGATTAATTTTATAATTAAATGTGTTTGTATAACAGTAATTGAAAATTTGCTTTATAGTTAACTGTTAAACTTTTTAATATATACTGCTTATACAAATTATGTAATTAATAGAATATCAACAATTCACCACTTTTAAAATTATTTTTTTCTTTGTAATTACAAGAAGTTTCATCCTAAAAAGCTTCTTTTTTTAAGATTTTAAAAGTTAAAAAGAAGTATGATTTTGATAGTTAAAATAAATATAAGCCCTGTTTAATTCTAATCCTATTCTATTGGTTAAAATATTTACTAAATTTTGATTGGCTATTTAAGAGGAAAATCAGAAATAACAGAACTGTTTCATAGGGTGTCCAGAAATATGTGACGGTAAACCTTAAAATATGTATGTGAAAAAAATGGAATATGTGATAAAATATGTTTATAATTATAGTAGAAATTATGCAAAATTTACTTTTTAGGTAATATAAAATAATATAAAAATCATTCACAAAAAAATTGAATTTATTTAATTTTAATTATAATATAAAAAATTAAGCATTGAAATTGACTTTTCAGAGAGGCACATTCTTCTTTTACTCAAAATATTTTTGTAATTAGAAAAACTGTGATCTACATCTACTGGTAACCAAATATAAATCAATGCTATTTTTGATAAATTTGTTAATGTGAGGCTTTTTTCTTTCCAAAAATTATCTAAATCCAATTCTCCTTCTTCTATTATTACCTCTAATCTATAATAAATGCTTCATTCAACATTGGTAGGATTTTGAAATTCAATTATATTAATATATGATAAAATATTTTGTCTATTAATTTGAATATAAATAAATCAGGGATCAAAACATTGAATATCTCTAAATAAGGTAATTCTGAATGATGTTGAATGTGTTTGTTTCATTTGTTTAAAACAACTTGATATGCTTGTTTAAAATAAGGCTTAAATTCCAAAGGATCAACATTATAATAATCACATTTTACAATTATTTTAGATGAAAGCAAGGGATCATTTGTATCAAATTCTAATACAGCTTGAGTTTAATTTATATGATTGGTAACAAAAGCTGCTAAAGGTTTATTTCTGATTTTAAAAATTCCAAATTAAAAACAAAACTAAATCAAAATTAAGTTAAATAGTAAATTATATAATATTTTTAATAATTAATTTAAAAATCACTTACCGTTTAGTATTAGATTTAATAAAAAGAACCATAATTTCAAAATTAAAAACTGCTATCCAATCCTGAAATGGTTTTGCTAAATCACGAATTGCTTTGTATATTATCCAATTTCTTTTCTTCAAGAAAGAATAATACAATATATAAAATATAATCACTAAGCCAAAGTACAAATCTAAACCAATTACACCAATGTGTTTTTACTAGTAATAGTGATAAGGTAATATTAGGATTAGAAGTTCTAGTAGAATTTCCAAAAAAGGAGGTAAAGTAGAATTATTAATATTATTTAAAGAAAGATAACTAATCCATCTTCATTATAGTAAATACAGTAATGATAATTTTACTTGATGAAATTTAAGGTTATGATCAGTCAATCATATTAGTTGCATAATATATCTATGCATATTTTATGTGATTTTCTATAAAATATGTAGTATATAACATATGTGAAAATTTTTTTTAAAATATGCATATATATTTGCGTCATATATTTCTGAACACCCTACTGTTCTGCTAAACAAATCTAACCAAATGTAATAAGTCGATCAAATCTATCGTGATTGTATTATTTCAATTTTATGAAAGAAAGTTTTCTAAATATTCTTAATTAATGTGTATGTAAATAAATAGACAACGAAAATAATGAAAACTATGAAAATCACGAAACTTCAAATTCTAAATCAAATAAAAATAAAGAATATAATTCTTTATACTTAATGAGACTTTTTTATTACTTTTATCATAATTAAAATATACAGTTTCTCAAAACTCATATCAATTTAATCAAAGATTTTTTCATATATCCAAAATTCAATCTGACTATAAATTCTATTCTTTTACCTCAATATAATAATATATATAATAATAATAATAATTATAATAATAATGTTGAGTTACATCAAAATAAAAGTAACAGTTTATTAGAAAATAAAGTAAATGATAAGTTATTTTAAATTTATTTATATATTTCTTTTTTAAATATAATTAATTGTATTATTTACTAATAATTAATTATTAATTATTAATATAGTTTAATTTAGATCAATTAGAAACAGCAAATAAATCAGCAGCAACATTCAAAAAAAAAAAAAATTATCAAATAGTAGAAGATAAAGCACAAAAATACTCTCAAAATCAAAATTCCTGAAATGATATTAAAATAAAAATCATGCTGAATTTTATATCTGAGAATTACAAAAAGTGGTATAATTATAAAAATAAAGTTTAAAAAGATTTAGTAAAGTCTAAAGTTTATCAGATTGAGATATTAGTCAAGTTAAAAATAGGATGAACAAGCTTCGTAGGAAATATTTTGATAAAAAAAAAGAATGTAATAAAACAGGAGTTAGTCCATCTACATAGGAATGGTATAAAAAATTTGATGAACTTTATGATTATAAAGAAAATGCTAATCCTTTATATATCTTTGATAGTATAATTATTAGTAAAAAAATAAAAAAATATGATGAATTTTGATAAATGATGTGAAAGTAAAAGAAAAAGTTAAAAAAACTAATAATAATTCAAAAAGCATAAATCAAATATTATGGATATTCTTTCAAGTATAATTGTATTAATGAATAATCTAAAGAGAAATTTTTTAAGATTTACGAAGTAGAGAAATAAATAGTAAAATAGAATTAGAAAATATAAAGTTGATCAAAAAATGTATCTAATATACTGAAAATAATGTATCTAATGTACTGAAAATAGCGTATAATATTTACAGATAAAATGTATCTAATATATTAAAATGGTTTATATAATATACGTAATTTATAAATTTTATATACAGTTATTCCCTTCT